ACACAGAGAGAAGCCGCATCTTGGTCAAACGGAAATAGTTCGTCTTTCCGTAGCCGGATCCAAGTCCTGGAGATGAGAAACCAGAGCCAGCAGGTACCGAGACTCGGCCAGTGTTCCCCAGCCAAAAAAGAGGTCCACCCGGCTCGGAAAGCAAGCAGGAAACAAAGCCACACGTTACGCGAGGAGGGCTTCGAGTCTACCATGCTTTGCCCAGTTGAAGAGCAAACCATGTCCTTAGTGCAAGAGTACCGGAACACGCGACTCAAAGACGGCCAACAAGCTGCGGAAAAAATCAGCACAAGGGAGGAACAGGGCTTCGTTATGTCCATTTTCGTGGGGAGATATGCATACAAACTTCGGATTAGCTTTTCTGTCAGCATCAGCACCAGCCGTGCAACCGTAATCTGTTTTACCTGACGGCATATGAGGAACGACTGCCCGTGATGTGCGCAAGGTAGGCCTTCCGCCAGTGCGCGACCCTCCGAGCTGCAGGTAGGGCAGTGGCTGAGCCGGAAGCTATCCTGGGAGCACTGGGGTGTCTTCACCACGGAAACCCCGCTCTGCGAAAAAAAAAAAGAGAAAAAGACAGATGCAGATTCCAAGAAATGGAGGCAGGCGCGAGGGCACAGCGCGGCGCGCGCGCGGGAGTGCGGGGTGGTCTTGAGGAAAGCGTAGAGGAGTCTATCTCTACCAAAGAAGGCGTTCGGGTTTGGTGTCTAAACTGCTTTGCTTCGACCCAGCGCATCCAACCGGCAATCTGTTCGGATACTGAATATATGCTACTGCAGATGAGATAATGTCAGAAAACAGAAACAATCAAGAAACCAAGATGGGTCTTGCACCGAATTCGGCGTCACTCCACACGAGCGAAACAACGGGGGGCTAAACCTACGCTCGACACAATACTCAATAGGGAAGAGGGTGTGCGTGCGGTGATAAAATACTCCTTGATGGCCTTGGATCTGACACACCTTCGGCACCTGAGGACTACGGGAGCAGCACAACATAAAAAAATGAAACAAAGGACGGGTTAACTGCGTTCCCCGTAATACAGTACTCATATCGTGACGAACCGTACATGACACAAGATAACACACCCCCTTGACCAATTTTCAAAGCTCAACTACGCCATGACGAAGAGGATGCATAATTGAAACGATACATTTTTGGAAAGCTCTCGACCGGACAGCTTCAATGCCACCGTTTTCGGCGCTGTGACTTCTTCTGTTGGTGAGGAATCGACGTTTGAAAATCGGTCCACGGGGTGTGCCCCTAGTGACACGGGCCAAGAACAACGCCCGCCTTCCCACCACCATCGCCATGATACTCGACACAAAACGGCAAAAAGGTATGCGGGCGCGTGCCCCGAGACCACAAAAGTCGAAAAGACACAAAAACAACAGATGAAGCACAAACAAAAAATGTAAGTTGGAATAGAATCACAAATTGAGCACGGGCACCAAGCTAGGCGGAAGTCTGTGAAATACAGGAAAGCGACGAACACATCCTTGTCCTGCTCTAAATCGAGTCGCACCTGGACCACAATCTCCAGCATCGAGGGCTGCGTGAGACCGAACACGCCTTGCATCTCTATCAGGAACTCCGATGCCAGCTCCGCCCACCTTTTCGTGCCACGCATTGCGGAGGCAGGGAGCACGGCCCGACCACAGGCGGGGTAAGCAGTACCACACCGCATGTTGTCGCACGGGAACACAGTGGGGGTAATACCCAGCGTCATGGCACGCGGTCAAGAGAGAGAAAACACCAGTGGGGTACGCTGCAAATACAGCCCTTGAGCAGCGAGACAGGACCGTTGAAGCCACATTCGAAATGCTGCCATTGGTGGCGCTACACACCATACCGCTTCACCCCATATTCATACCGTACCGTCTCACCCCTCATCCATACCGTACCCTTTTCACCCCATATCCATGACGTACCGTTTTCGCGCCATATCCATACCGTACCGTCTCACCCCGTACCCATACCGTACCGTACCTGTCATCGTGAAAAAGTGCGACCCACTCGGGCACCGTCGACTCCTGCGGGTTGGGGAACACAAGAGTTCCCATGTCCCGCTGCACCTCAGCCTGGTGATTCGCGGCGTGTGGCTGTAGGTAGTCCCGGGCGTACTGGACCGCCTAGTTGGTTCAATGCCATGTTGTTCGTGCGTGGCAACGTTACGTCGAGTGTTGTTGTCGGTGTCAGCGAACGGGGTAGGCGGCAAGGGCCACCGTGAAACCGATAGGCGAACTCGACGTTCGTGTTAGATGTGACAAGTCACAGCCCAGCACAACCTCGGTAGAATACATGGACCGCCTGATTTAAACGTTGTCCATTGCAACACATCGCCGATTGTTGGTGTTGGGGTCAGCAGTCGGGGTGGGCGCCAGTGGCCAAGGCGAGGCCGTTTGTTGTGCGATGTGATCATGCAACTGACACGTTGCAGCATTGGATAGAAAGCGGGTGCGCATCGATGGAGAAGTTCATGTTGGACGGGAAACAAAAGGAAGGGAGCGCGCTGTTGCCATTGGTGTTGGAGTTAATGCGTTAGTGTGAACGGTGTTTGGTGTTGAAGCCCGCCATGAATTATCGTCCTCCAAAAAAAGCTCAACTGTCCAAAACGGCCGCGTCCACGCGACCCGGCCGTCATGACCATGGTGCATATACAAAGCACCATGCATTCAATCGAGAACCGCAACAAGACAATATATTCTCCAAAAAGCAACATGTACTAGAGCGACAACCGAAAACGAGCTTTTCTCCTACAAAGCAACATACTTTATTTTTTTTCAGTCCTAGTAATTTTGGCGACGGAACACTAAAGCGATAAACACAAAAGCGCTACGCTATGCATAGATCATCTACCTCCTCCTTCTTGTTGGCTCGGACCATCTCCAGAAACGCCCTCTCGCGGACCCGGAACTCCAGCTTGCTCTCGAGCTTCCTCAGCCTCGACGAGTTGTCCTCGCACCACCGTAGAGCCGGCCCGAGATCCTTAGCCCTTATCGCAGCCTCCACCTCCTTCGCCCTGACAAAAATAAACAGGAGAAACACACACACAAAATAAAAAGGGGATGTATCATCATTTGATCTTGAATTTTGTAGTGAAGAAAAAAAAAAACGTAGAGATACAGATATACCGCGCTTCTTGTTTTGTTTGCATCATATACACTTGTCAATGTCGTTTGCAGTGAAAAGTTGTTCGAGAGAGCCGTTCGTCCGTGTCTCCTTTTGCACCAGCCATCGATCCACCTGTTCACTGAAAATCCCGACCTAAACAAAACACGCCGAGAGAGAGAGGCGTGTGACACAATGAGCGTAAAACGTCGCCAAGGCCATATTTCCCCCCCATTACGCCGAGCTTCATCGTGAAACCCATTAGCAGCGTGCGTCAGGCAACGATTCGAAAACACGGACGGAATCGTTACAACAGTCGAGATGAGAGCGGCTTCATCGGGCAAACGGGACCCCCACCTCTCGAACAGCTCTATCGTGACGAAATCTTGGATGCCCGCCTCCTCCGAGAGTTCCCGGGCAGCCTCCGAGTGCCCCTGTCAACGCCATCATCCAGCCCGGGCAGTTTGACAAAATTGGCGGGGGGGGGGGGGGGGGNGGGGGGGGGGGGGGGGGGGGGGGGGGTACCATGCCTAACGGACACTTTGCAGTCGCAGCCAAAGAACTTGACATATCGCGTGTTTTAGGCGGGAGGGGGTGACGGAGAATGGCACAAGACGACCGTGCCGTTTGGCCGAGATTGCCACTTGAAGAAGACACGAACAGCAAACCTCTGATACCGAAGTATCAACAGACGTGCGTCTACATGAAAGATCACAATCCGACCAGCGCGAAGAAACTTGACACTCTCTCCCTTTGCGAAGATATTCCACGACGCCGGGACCCAAAACACGAACGACCACGGTTCTTGCATTGCCCTGTCGAGCCGATGGTATACCCACCCACCGACGCCCCCCACTACCCCGGCCATTCGAAGGAGTGGCGGCACGCGGGGTGTCTTCGACCACAGTACCGCCGTCGGCACGCGCTCGGGCGGTGCCTTGGACCGCATCAGGCCCGCACAGGACACATGCGGTGTTCTCTACGAAACCCCGCTCTTCACGGCACGTGTCGCGTACCGTTCTTTTCCAGTACACACCTACCTCTCTCAGCAGGTACTCCACGATGAAGCGGTCGAGCCGCGTCTTGCCCCCCGGAGACTCTGTCACAGCGAAGGACGATGCCGCCACCGCCGCCGCGGTCGACGCGGCGGCGGAACTTCCGGTCAGGTGCGGAAGGGGCGGCGGCGGCGGCGGCTGCGCCAGAAGATCGAGGCGTTTTCTCAACCCCGTCAGGTGCTTCCTCTCTTCGCGCCCTGCTTCCTGGGCCTGGAAACCACCGTCGCAATGGAGGTAGTGGTGGTGGTGTTTTTTCCGGGAGATACGTGTACGCACATGCCTTCTTTATTTCACGGTATACGACAACGCCGACCATGTCAAACTTCAGGCAACGGCATGGTTGGGTGAAGAAGGACAATAACAACACCGTCACCACCAAAAACAACACCAACACCAACACCAACATCACCACTACTGCTCCTACTACTACTACTGCCACTACTGCTACTATTGCTACTACTACTTCTACTATGCCACTACTGCTACTACTTCTACTACCGCTACTACTACTTCTACTACTGCCACTACTGCTACTACTTCTACTACTGCTACTACTACTTCTACTACTGCCACTACTTCTACTACTGCTACTACTTCTACTACTGCTACTACTACTGATACTACAACACAACACCAACAATACCACCAACACCACCACCAACAACAACAACGACGACGACGACGACAACAACGACAACAACAACAACAACAGTCAGAAACAGCGTACCGTCGCCTTGAGCTTGGTAAGACGGTCCATCAGCTCGCCAAGTTTCGCCGAAGCATCGGTTTCACTTTCAACGCTGCTACCGGCGGTCTCGCCTCTTCTCGTTTCGTCACCATCGGAGTCACCCGCCGCCGCCCCTGCTGCCTCGAGACTGCTGATCTCCTTGATTATTGCCGTGAGCTCCGATGTAACCTGAGGCGGGTACAGAAGACATGTTCCACCAGGTTTTGTCTCTCGATCCATTCTACGTGGGAGGTTCAGTAATTGACATCGCGAAACCGGCGTTGGACATTCAAGCGTAGGACACAAGTCTGTGTGGGACATTTATTGGCCACGGATGCCACCTGAGGCGTTGACAACCGGTCCCTCGTTACCGAAAAACTCAAACTGGTCTTCCGCTTACTGGTCTTCCGCTTGGGCGTGAATCCCGAGAGTTGCCCTTTTTATTGTGGTGGGGTGGCCGCTCTCGTTCGGTGCATGTCTCCACCTGAACGACCATTGACGGCATTACCCCCCTAGACCCCGTGTCACCATTGCGTATTCCTTCGGACGTCGATGCTTGCCGGCGCGGCCAGTCTTCGCACACCACCTACTGCTGTACAGGAGACTGCTGCAGTTTTTTCGCAGTGGCACATCAACTTCAACCCCGAGAGTACAAAGTTGGAGGCACGAAAATCCGCACGCAGCGGCAGCCGGTGGGATAACGTGGTGTGAACATAGAGGCTCTGTAGCACCTGCAATATTGTGGTGCCGTGCCTTTGTGTTTGAAGCAACCCTTACACAACCCTTGCGACCAACCAAACGCGACACGATAGATACCACACCCCATGGACCGAATTTCAAAGCTCGGTTGCTACACGATGAAGATGATCCATAATAACGCCACGATAGGTTTTGGGGAAGCTCTGGACCAAGACCCTTCCACACAACTATTTTAACACTGACACTCTTTCTGCTGTGAAGTACTCGAGCTTTGAAAGTCGGTCCAGGGGGTGTGCTATCTTACCTCACAAACGGTTGTCTATTCGATGCACCGTTCATGTACAGCATATGCAGCAGTAGACAGACAGCAGCGGTAGCCTGCATGTCGGCAAGCTCCTGAGGTGAGTTTCGCTCACCGTTTTCCTAGTCTTGCGGAAGACCTGGCTGACACATTCAATCGGCACTTTGATGAATGGTCCTTCCGTCTCCATTGTCGTATTGTTCCCGCCGTGCCGTCAAACCCCGGTCTCTCTGCGAGCAAACACACACACAATAAAAATACACACAGCAGCAGCAGAGTGCAAAAGCTCGTCAGTTTTGTAGTGTTCTGAGGGAGGGGGCACGGCGGATCGGATAGAGGTTTTGCACGGTTGTTGTTGTTGTTTGTCTTCACATTAAACCGTATGTCAGTTGCTAAATGCCAAAATCTAGCAAACGACTCTCAGCCCGTGGTCACGAAAGTGCTAGAGCCATCTGAGCATCTAAAGAACACGCACACATCTGACGAGAAAAAGGTATGCAAGAGCCCGAAGAGGTACACCTAAAAATCCCTGCAGCACCGTATGCGTGCCCAAAAACTGAACTGCACGTCCGTCCCACCGTTCGACTACAGTAGCATCACCCCCTCCCTGTCCCACTCTATACCAAAACGGAAGATTGCCGACTACAGCATAATGCTGTCTGAAGTGCTGTCTGTACAAAAACACCATGGTAGGCATGGAACAAGAAGCTGGCGGGGCACAAAGCTGCTGTCTGAAGTGCTGTCAGAATGTGTCTGCGGACGTACAGTGAAAAA